GACAACCCCCCCCCCCCCCCCGTTGAAACACCCAAAGCCATCTAGTGCTTGCACTTAGCCTCCATTCTTCATTACTAGTGAAATTACTAACTGAAAAACTTTCCATGGGAAAATTAAGCACCCCACATCAAGGAGTTTTGTAATTAGGATAATGGGTAACTATGCACCAGACTTTCTGCCTGGAGACCAGTTATTGTTTTGCAGAAGAAAGAAGTAGCCAATTATCCAGTTTGTGAAGAAAACCGTTACTTTCTTCCAAGGAATTAAAAAAACAAAAAACAAAGATATACTGTTTTAAATATAAACTATCTGGCTTCAGATGAAATAAATGTAGGACAATGGTGTCCTACAAAACTTTAGTTTGGCCACAGAAATGCTCCTTCATGCACAATATTTGAATTTGCAAAAACACACAAAGGAGCAAAGGATAGAACAAAATGGAAAATACAGCTGATTTTCTGTGTTTATGTAATATCACACTACGGATTATAGCAATTTTGCTACTACAGACCTTACCAATAGCTCCCCTGATTTCAACAACTCTGCTGTGAATTGGAATCTTCAGAGTGAGAATTTTGAGAATTTACTTCTAAGTGGTAAACACAATTTCTAGATGTTCTTGCAAGCAACACAGTCCCAAACCATTATCTGAGGTAAGTGTTTTGTGAACTAAAATAATATTAATTAAAATGTATCTGGATCAAAAAGAGCAATCAAATATTAGTGTAATAGCAATTATTCTACCAAATGCCTCAGCTAAGTATACTGTATATAATGAGGAAGAAAGTGCCAAGTAATCCACATTCTTGTTTTTGCAATTATAGTGTTCAGGTAAGGCTTATTGGCAAAAAAATCCTTTTGATTTTATGAACTCTACCATCTCATTTTCTCACTATGCATAGATTTGCTGAGAAAGTATCATAAATGGCTTTCATAAATAGTACATGTGTCATTGCTGCTTCCCAGAGTTGTCTCACTTGGGGTGAGTTCAGTAGAAGGATCCAAGACCAGGTCACTAGGTTGTGCCTGTACTTGAGCAACTTCTTTCTCTTCCTCCTCCTCTTTCATTTCTAAAGCTATACTGTCCTGTGTCTGGTCATCAATACAGTCCTTTTTAGTTAACTGGTGAACAGAGACTTTTATAGCAATCTTGAGTGGTGGTTCATGCAGAGAAGATGCATCTGAGTCGGCGGCAAGAGAGTCACTACGCTTGAGGGGACTGGAAATCATGTACATTTCTTCTGGGTCCATGATCTCTTGCCCCACAGCTGATTGCCTTACAAATTTATGGCCTTGTTCCTCTAATCTGACTACTTCCATAATTTCTTCCATTATAGTCCTACAATTCATTATAAGAGGTGGTAGGGGAACACTTCTAGCTAGTTCCTCAATATAGCGGGCAAACTCCATTGTCTTAAACTGGGTTACTTTGGCAAGCTCAAGAGTTTTTGCTGAGGTGATAATTGGGATGCGTTTAGCGATCTCAAAAGCTTTTTGCAGCTTTTCAGCTCCTTCTGTCCGAAAGAATTCATTGATAGCTTTCTCAGTCTTTTTCAAGTGGCTACTCATCATGCACAGCCTAGTAATGTTTAAGATCAAAACAATGGTAAATGCTACAAGACATACAATCATGTAGTAGATTCCCATGTCTCCAGCAGTAAATACAACCCTCAGGGTGACAGTATTATTCACTTTGCCATAGATGTTAGAAGCAACGCATGTGTATTTTCCTCGATCTTCAAACGACACACTGGTAATATTTAGTTGCCCACTATTGAGAATCCATTTTCCTGCTGGAAAGAAGCCAAAATTAATTAGTATAATTTATCTATTTCTTCTTCTCATCATCACTTAGGAAATGTCACAATACACTCAACTAATTCAAAGACACCTTATTATGTGTTTACAATATTCTGGAACAACTGCTGATAAGAACAATTTAATCTTGGCAATTAATTGGGTCTAGCAAACACCCCAAATTGCTTCTCCTAGGATTGCTATAGATTATCCCATGATATTGCTAGGTTGTAAAACTCTTTATGTTCCCAAGCAAAAATATCCCACAAATCATCCTGTGATTAAATTGTACACATTCCTGGTCATTTTGAAGTAATCTAACCTGAAGGGAATTTTGTGGTTTACTTTTGTGTAGATAAGAGAATGTAAATGATTTGTACATAGGCTAAAAAGTAATCAATTCCTGTAAATTATGGTCAGATGAAAAAGGACTTTGATGTATTTCTGCCCATAACTCCACTTAAATCAATATTTTTATTGCACATATATTTCAAAAGATGCTTAAATTTATTTTGGTAGAATGGAGGCATAAAAAGACTGAAGAACAGGAGGACTGAGCTTGAAAATGGCAAGAGGTGTCCTTACAACAGGTCAGATTACTAGTCTGCCCAAATCCCTGTTGCCTACTTTAATTGCCACAGCTCTTCGGCACAGGTATTCCTCAGAATTTTATTTCTCATGCTTGGAGAACACAGGGGATTATCTCACCATTGGTCCATTTTGTTTTGTATTGGTCACAACTACTGGTAGCAGTTCTTCATGATTTTAGATCAGAATCTTTCCTAGTTTTAGTTGCATATGTTAGGGATGTAATTTTCTGCATTCATTCCATGCATACAGTATACTATTTAGCTATAGTTTTTCCTGAAAACCCCCAAAGCCATAGAGCTCAAAATAAAGATCTTGGCTAGGGGATCTAGATCAGAAAAGCAACTCTGAGTGGCATGTACAAACAAGAGTGTCAGTCTGTGTGTCTTTCCCTACTTGCATCTAACTAAAATACCAACATGTCCTGGCAACATTTTTATTCTGCTGTGTTCCAGTGAAGTTTTCTTTATCTCAGCTTTAGCCCATGAATAAAACAGGGAGATTTAAAATAGTGTTTTCCCCTTTACATCAGCAGAGGCCCATGGCAGTTTCAAAGTACATAAAACTGGATGGCTCTGCAGCCTCTTTTCTCCAGGATGCAGTCAGGTGAATTGTAGGAGTAGGGTTAGCCCCTTCAGGCTGGGACAGGCATGCCCCCTTCCCGGGTCTGGCTCTTTCCTCTGCTGCCTTTTCTTCCCTTATGGTGAAGAGAATAGATGCCAATTGCTCCTGTACCTGCAGTTCCCTGAAGCCTTCAGAACAGCTGATAGGGTATAGGGGAGCAACACAGTAAAGCAGGAGAACCAGTTTTCTCAAAACTCTGAGACCCTGAGTTTGAAGTCATGTAGTTCACTAGCTTTACTGTTCATCTGACAATCAGTGGATCTGCAGGCTTGTTTTGAGCCTGGTTTAGTGTTATTTCAGAACTGGAATTTTGAAAGAAGAGTGCTAATCCCCATCAAATCAAGGCTGAACAGCTGATCAGTGGTGTTATTGTTATTATCCAAAGACTTCGATGGAATTTGTATCTTTGGCTCCTCCCTGCCTTGATAAACATTTCAAGGGAGGGAAGAAATAGCTTGAACAAGACCCTTGTGTATGCATGGCAAAATAGTAAGAAAAAAAGGGCCCTCCTGTTGGGAACCATGTGCTGCATCTCCCCATGCAAGGGAAGGGGTTGAACTGAAAGGAAGGAATAAGTAGAATAAGTAGGGTTTGGTTATGAAGGAGGCCTACTGGTTGAGATCCAGTTTTTCAAAGAGGCCTATCTTGGGGGGATTCTTTACAAACATACTCCCTGCCTCCAATCTAGATCCTTAAACATTCCGTTTGTAGCAAAAAGAGTACACGCAGCACTGTGTATGTGTGCAGGGAGGGCAGGAGTAATGGAGGGAGGATAGAGTTGCTCACTCCAGTCCAAAGCTGCAGTATCCACTTCCCTGCTGATCTCCCTCTTAGGTTCCACTCTGCAAGCCCCACAAACATCAGATTGTCACCCTCAGTGACCACTTTTCATACACACATTTCCAGCCTCTAACATTTCAAGAGCAGCCCTTGAAAATAATTAGGAGGTAGACACAACAAACTCACTCCTACCCCTGTTCTTCTGTTTTCAGAATTCTGAGGAGCATGAACTCTGTTACCAGCATGGAAGTGGATCGCTGGCATTATAACAGATAACATATATCTTCCTTACTTTTCTAACATTACGACTGGAAGATGTTTTCCCATGGTGGATGACATCAGGATAGGAAAGGGAAGCAAAGATAGGGGAATTAACCAATTGTTTTATTAACATGTCCTGCACGTGCATATTTGGGACAAGATCATTCAGTGAGACTCAGAAGAAACACTACAGAGGCTAGACAGGAATTGGCAATCAGGGCAGCTAAATGCATGCTGGAATAGTTTTCTGCCAACTTGAGAATGGGCAGTGGGCAAAGGACATTTGCTTCAGTAGGAGGCTGTCACTTGCACAGCTAATCTCCTTGCATTAATTCATCTTGCCTTGCCATAGACAAGATTTCCCACCATTACTCTCACTTGGCATACTGAATAACGCTTTGCCTAAAGTAAAGTCCCAGCAAATTATGCAGACTTGTGGCCATCAATGTTCTAAAGAATCCAGCAGTACAATTCAAACTGAAGCAAAGTCACTCAAAAGGCCATATGCTTTTTTTTATATCTCATCTTCCAGATTGTTCCTTGCTTGCAACTGCCAATTAATACACTTAGCTTTTATTAGCATATCTAAACCCTTAGACCCAATTTTCTGACTATCATCCCATCTTTTAACAAGCACATTCCATACATTAACTATACCATTTGTAAATAAGTGCCCTTCTTTAACTCACTTGAATGTCAAGATCAGTTTTAACTGAAGGATAAAAAATCTCTCTGTTTTCTAAACTTTTATCATGTTCTCACCATCATTCCCTTTTACCTAAATAAATAATTCCCAGATACTACAATCTTTCCATGCAGTTTTAAAAAAATTAATGTCACCTGCATGGTTTTTTTTTTAAATCTGAAGACTACAAATGCAAGGGAATAGGGGTAGAATAATCAGGATCAACACTGCAGTGGGTAGGATGGCTATAATTCTTCCCTTGAAGTCATAACACAAAATGATGCTTCTGAATATGTAGTGTGCATTAGGAAGTGAAACCCTGTTGGTAATCATGATTTCACAGATGTAATGGAAAGGACAAGAGAAGCAACAGCAATAGCCAGAACCAACTTGTTTGGGGTTAAAGACTGGTTCTGAATTGACCGGGGTTGAAAAGTATGGTGTGGTATAAAGCACACCTAGCATGCAGCTTTATTAGTCTAATGGACAAACAAAACTCTTATATGTAATACAGAGACAACTTTCTCAGCTCCATCAGCATTCTCTGAAATATCCAGAGAAGTTTAGGAAAAGAATCTTCCTGCTGTGCAGAGTTGGCAGTTGTCTCAATCTGTCAAGTACATTTTGGATTCCTTGAGTAAATATAGAAAAATAAATGTGCAATAGTTGGTGCTTCTAAGGAAATGGAAAACAAAGACAATATATTTGCCCAGGTTGCATAGAAAAACATTTGAAAACTGTACCTCTGTCACCATCTTCTTTCACCAAATGGCCATTTGAGTTGTACCACTTGTACACTGGCCCTGGATAACCTTGAACGTTGCAGTCAATCAAGGCACTGTAACCTTCTTTGACTATAATGTGATCAATTCTGGAGATTACCATCGGTACAGATCCTGTCAGCATGTCTGTGTGATTTAAAGTGCTGTTATTGACATCTTCAGCAGTTGTCCATACTGCTAGTAAGTTGAAAAGATGAAAGATGGTCCAATAGTACAAAAGAAGGTGGCTCTTGAACATGTTCACCTGTCTTCAAATATATCTGCCAATCACAGTTAATGTTGGACCTGGAACAGGGTGATATACCAGGCTAGAGAAGCCCAAGGAATATTAATCTTGATCCATCAACTTTCAAAAGGAAAGAAAATCTAATCCTGCAAAATAAAACAAGTTATACAACAAAAATAACAATAGGAGTAGTAGAGGCAGTTACAGCAATTTTGATTTAACTAATAATCTATCTCAGAATTCATTGTTTCAAAATTTTAATTTCAATGCATTCACAACTCCTGATATTTTTTCTGTTTTTCCTGTACTTTTGATACAATTTCAATGACAGAAAAAATACTGTTTTGTTCAAATCAGTGTATTTATTTTAATTTAAAAAAATATTAGAAATAATCTTTCTTTTAAAAAATCAAAATGAGCAAAACAAAAATGATTTTTTACTGTTGATATGACTCAATTAGTTTACAAGATTCATATCACTATCATTATGTAGGAATAAGGATTAATGTAACAGAAATTAACGTTCTTAACATCTAATTATGCCAAAATGCATATCTAAAAGTGTCTCAGGTTATGCAGAGGGTGCTAGGGGAAAAAAGTAATAATACACTTATAGTATGAAGATACATATTTTGTATACGTGACACAATTTATCTAAAGGTGTAGCATATATTTCAAACAGAATCCTTACATGAATTTTTATTTCTATAATACTTTAGCAATCAGTTATCTAAGCAAAGAGCTTTCCACTGGAAATGAGTTGATCTGGAATTCAATTTGGTTGCATTTCTATTAAATATATGTACTATGAATTGGTATTAATATCAAAATAATTTTTATGGCTGCATATTTTTGGTTTGCAGTTGATAATCATACAAAAAGAATTCAGTACCGTCCTAGATCTGTTGCTTAAAAAGAAGAGTAACTGATCTGTTAGTCAGCATTAAGTCTCAGTGCAGACATGTGAAAGAATAGGGAAGGGAACATTAATTCAAAGTTACAGCCCTGCTTTGCATATAAAATATCCCAGATTTAGTGTGTGTCATTGCCAGTTAAAAAGATCTCAGTTGGCGGGGTTTATTGGCTAGAAAAACTAATCTTCAGATGACTGTAATAGTATTTCTTTCCTAGAATTGCATATTGCTCCTCTGTCCTTTAATGCTGATCGACATTTTGAATTCAATATAGATGATCCAGAATGGTCTGTCACCTGCTCCTCCTGCTTCTGTTTACCTTGTGCTCTTCTGGGCAGGTGAGAGACTTCCAAACGAAACACTGGGCTCATGGGGTTCCTTGGGAGTCAGAGGCATTCTTAGAAATAAAAAATGGTAGTAGAATCAGGGGCTTTGCTGTACATGATGCCAGCTTCCTACTTTTTTAATTACTACTTTTTTAAGGCTGAAGAAGCTAGATGGGCAGAAAGCCTTGGGGGATGCCAAGAAATTTAATGGATTTATATTACAATTTATTGGAACATCTTTGAAAGATGGTTGTTGGTAAAATATATGCTGAACAGGAACAACTGTATACAACTAAGGTAAATGTTTTTTGTTTAAATTTTATTTGATTAAAGCCTTATTTTAAGTCAATTTAGTTCTTTGATTATTTTTTAGACTTTTTATAAAGCTCCTGCAAGATTTGTGAATACTATAGCTGCATAAATCATCTGGATTGATTTACAGTCATCTTTATAGGCAAGACAGGCAAGCCATACTTTCAAGTTCAGTACACAAAGCTAGTATATTCCAGAAACAGCTGTATCTCTTTATTAGATATTTGCTTAACTCATTATAGGAATACCCAAGGCTATGATGATTTTGAGTGCAGCTGCTTCTTCTGAGCTGCAGTGTGTGCATGTCTGAGTCACACATACAGACACCCCAGGCACTTAAATCCTTCTTACTGTACAGAATGAAGCAAGAAAGAAGTGGAAAATCAGCCCTACTAACTGAAGACTTCCTATCTTTTTTTCCTTCCAACTTCTTGCCTCATCTGTTTTCAATGCTTAATTTCTACATAAAGATCAGCCACAGCTCAGTTCTTTCTTCAAGCAAGCCACAGTCAACATGGAAGTCCTTCTCTCTAACTCCTGTTAGGGCTCTCTTCAGTCATTGGCAAATAAAGAAAGATCATCTCCACCTATTTCCAGACATTTTCCTCCGTCATTGTGTCATGTGCCTTTAGGTAAAAAGCCAAAGAGAAATATATAAAAATTTTCTTAGAGTTCACAATAGCCAGTCATTAATAAGAGACACAATTAAGAGATCCTCTATGTTACAGGCATGACTTTTAATGTGCCTGTGATAGTAACTTTTGAATTTGTCTGTTCTAGTCACCCTTTAAGAATTTTTCGCTGTAAAGATGAATAATATGAATCAATGAATATAAATTGCCCATTATTATCTTAAACTAACATGCAAATATAACAGGTTTTCCTGTAAATAAAAAAAAAAAAGAACATCACATGAAATTGGAGTTTGTAGTGATTCATGTGTTGACTGTGTACTGATTTTATTGATTTTGTACTGCATTTTTTTTACTTTGGGTTTTTATTATTGATATACTCACAAATTGTGAGTGGAGCAATCTTATAAATTATTTTAATTAATTAATTAATGGGTCTGCAGGCCAGCTAGTAGCTATAGATATTCTATAGCTCTATAAAACCTCTGTTTTCTTTCAACTGCTTCTCATTGAAACAGAATTTTCTGTTTTAGTCAGTTGTTAGCTGTAACCTTACGTTAAGCAAAACAAGCTGTAGTAAACTGAATGGAGCTCTAGTTAAGCAATCTTCTTCTTCTTCTTCTTCTTCTTCTTCTTCTTCTTCTTCTTCTTCTTCTTCTTCTTCCATTCAGTCGTGTCCAATTCTCAGAGACTGCCTGGACAAATCCTTGCAGTTTTCTTGGCAAGGTTCTTTAGAAGTGGTTTGACATTGCCTCCTTCCTAGGGCTGAGAGAAAGTGACTGGCCCTAGGTCACCCAGCTGGCTTTGTGCCTAAGGCAGGACAGGAACTCAGTTTCCCATTTCTAGTCTTAACCACTACACCAAACAGGATCTCTAAGCAATATTCTTAATAGGCCTGTAAATATTAATTTTCTGTAATATAAAATAAATACTGTTTCATTCTTGTTAACTTTGATTTCTCTTTGATTCATCTGTTCAGCTCAATATGTTTTTTAAAGAGAACCTCTAAATTGCAAGAGTAGTAGTGGTGTAAAGTTTCTTTATTTTATTGTAAGACTCAAACCTGTTTTATTATAAGAGGAGCTATGTGGTATTTCAGAGTTGATACAAATGTCTAGTTGGTGGCAGCTGTTATTGCTGGGAGATGATCATCTCTACTATTAAGAGAAACATAGAAATTTCCACCAGTTATACTGTACATCTGTTGCCTTACAGCTTCAAGGGTTGCAACTATTCATCCAGGGTAGTGACAGGAGATAGCTGGTAACAGCGTATTATGTACATGTATGACCTGGTCAAGCTTCCTTACAGAGCATTTATGAGATAGGACCATTTTCTTTCTCTTTTGCATGCACTCCTATCACCAATCATTGAAGAAGAACTTTAGCAATCAGTATTTTACTCAGTTCTGATTCTGCAATATTTAACATTCTAGATCATTTTTTGGTCCTTTTATGCAACTATCAGCTGGTACTGATTTAATTTTCCCCACCTTATTTTTATTTCATAAAACACATGCAATGACATTGATTACTTTTTTTTTTTTTTGCTGAGGATCACTTTTGAATGTTAGAAACAATCTGAAATGAGTTATTATAACTAATTCAGGCAGTGGACTGTTTCAAGTTAATAATTAGCAGCTGCAGGCTCCCATTACTTTTTCTTGCTTATTCCCAAAGTTAGTAAGATTCCATATTGTCAGTGGCAATTTTTTCACATCTCTTTATGAGCTTTTGTTTGGGGTACAATGTTTATGATTGCTCTTTAATAGAGTGTATAATGCTACTCTTTTAGTTATGTTCTCAGCATGTGTCAGGCCTAGCCCAAGGAACTCCAAGAGACAATGCCGATTCAGTCCAGCTATGTTTA